ACTTGCTTTTATTCTGTTCTCCTTCAAAGTTATTTAGATTTTTCTTCTCTGCTATTCTAATTACTCATTCTACTCAGCTAGTTTCTCTGTTGTCCCTGTTCCTTTCTCAAAATCCTCAGCAGCTGGAGTTATTACACTTTCATTTATGCTGTCTCATCTATTCAGATTTGCCTACAGCTATGAAAAACTGAGATAGGTCTTATTTTTAAGTCAACATCATTTTTCTCTTTAGATTAAAAATAAATCATGTTAAAAAAACAAAGTGTATTGAAGTATATAAATTATTACATACATAAAAACACAACATATTTTAATGTGCAGGTCCTAATACAGTCATACAACTATGGAATGCTATATTCCTTTGAATACTTTTGTGAGAAGAACACATACCCCCCAAATGCAGCAACTGCAGTATGATCCTAAGTGTTCACTATGTGGTCACTTTCCTATCAGCACCTCTATATGTTCATGTTATCATACATTCAAGCCCAAATATGTGAAGTTTTATTGACTGTCACTGTACAGTCAACAACATGCTGACTTTACTAATTTTTCTTCAGTGCCTCTGTGCATTACCACAGATATATTCCTTTGCAAGTCAGTAACAGGTATGTCACTGCTGTATTACTGCACATGTCAACCATTCCAAACTCACCTTGCTGCATCTTCTTCTAGAAGCAGTTTCACGAATTGTCTGGGGATGTGCAGGGACAGGATGCTCTCAGCCATCTGCTCCAAGATTCTTAAGTGATTTCCATCAGTGGTCGGGAAACGATACATTCGGCAAATGGCACCACCAAACACTAAAGAATTAAAATCATGTTATTTAAGCATAGGGCTTGAGTTAAAAGTGTACAAAGTCACTTCTTTTTTAAAGTAAATGGCTTTGGTTCATTAATATGCTGTAACACAGTGCTGTGATGATCTGCTTTATCCAGGCATCAGTCTAGGTTTTCCAAGCACGGCCATACTGCAATGACCACACTTCTAGTGTTTGCAGGAAAAGTCTCCACTCCAAATGATTTAAAACATGGGTAAGGAAATTAAACAAATGAAATACATATTCAATTTTTAAAACACTTTTTTTTTTTCTTCTACGTACCTTGCATTTTCCTCTCATGCAATCATTGCTGGAAAACTAACCTTTCTGCAAGAATATTTTTTTAAAACAACTTGCTTTCCTCTGTATCTCTCCTCAACCCCAGTGGTCGCTTACAGTCAACTTACTGGCAAAAGTTTGCTTCTGTTGTTTTTACAAAAAGTTTGCTTCTGTTGTTTTTACAATAAGAAATAGTGCAAATAACAAAATAATTTATTCTTGTATGACCCTCAAAGGACTGCTCAATCAGCAACCTGATCCTATTCAAATGAAACATCTGCTGAAATGCCCTGGGGCCACAAGGCAGACAGGGAAAGATAAGCTTTTTGATGCCTAAAGCTTACTTGTTCTAGCCCACAGCAGCTTACCAGATTTCAGTAGTGCATCTTTCCTTAGCGAAGCATACTTAGATCTGATTCCTAAAGATTCTGTTAAACTTTCATCAACTGGCAATACAGTCTAAACAAAAACAAAAAACAGAATAAGTGAAGAATAAAACCTCAGTGCCTGGGCAATATGCAGTGATAACCCTATCACACAGATTTCAAAGAAATATTTGACACAACATGTGCTTTAAATAAATATTCAAAATACATTTACTGTGGACAAAAAATACTGCTGGTTGAAATAATAAATCCTGAGCATTTCTATTTACTTCTACTGCACAGTTCAAAATGCCATAGATTTTCACCCAGCTATTCAACTACATTCTTTCAGCACAGCTCCAGAGTCCTTAAAGGTATCAGAATGTGGAACCTACAGGTCTGGATGGATAGGCAGCGATACCAACCCACATTGTAACTGTAATACATAAATACCACTGCCATTATCACCAAGATACTCAGAACAAAAGGTTTACATGTCTAGGTTGAAAAAGTGCTGCAAATATCTGCTCTCAAATATATATTTGGGGATGAGGAAAAAAAATACATTCAGCAATCAAGTAACCTGCAACAATACCACGAGCCTCTTCTGATGAAGGACATGAGCACTTGAAGTGAAAGCTTAATCACTGTAAATTAAAATTTGCCTCGAGACTTTAACCTGAAACATGAGCACCCCAAGAGTTCTGCAAAACACAAAATGGCTTCAACACCATTAGGCTGCTTTTTACAGGATTTTCAAAATGTAAACCACCACTAAATATCAAGATAGACAGGAAAGTTGACAGCAGGCATCAACCTGGCTTATTTCAATGCTGGCAATAAGGCTGCATTCTTCTGAATTTGACACAATGCTCATACTCACCCTTCCATTAATTGTATCAGGTGACCTTGTCACTGGAGGCCTTTGGTCAGATTTTTCCTCCATTTGCCATCCAATAACTGTGATGTTACCTACACGGTCACTTTCAGCCGACCTGCAACAAATACTCTGCGTTGAGATTTTTTTGGAGGTGGACCTGTTTATCAACAAGGGAACACTTATAAAAGGCTACTTATCTTCAAACTTAATGAACATTTTAAATAGGAAGCTTTTCAACTTCATTCAGCATAATTTTTTAATGGGTTATTCCAAAAGGAGAACATTCTCCTCATTCTGCAGGGATGGGGTACTAGAACTCCTAGTTGAAGGCAACCTAAACCTACACATGTGTTTCAATGCTCCTGTAAAACCAGAAAGAGCTCAGATTTCACAATTAGGCAAAAGCAGCTTAAATTGTGAACATTACTGTGGAGCAGATAATTGGATGTACATGCACACTTGTGTGTTGCCTATGCGTTTCAATGTCTGAAACCAAACTGTGAACTCTTATTTGTACAGTTTGACTACAGCTGGTAGAGTTTCAACTGGTAAATTTTGATTATATGCAGGCTAAACAGAAGTAGAACATCCCAAATCTTCCTCAACCAGTCAAGGTCACCAGTTAGGAGGCTGATCACATCTTATGCATCTGCAGAGAAGCTGTTTAGATTGGGAAAGCTGGGGACTTGACATTCCAGAACGGAAAACGGATGCTATAAAGAAGGATCCTGAAAATAAGTGGTCTAAGAAAGAAGAAGGTGAACATTCTCAATGAAGGTAAGATCCCTGAGGCAGAGAAAGATCCTTGACAACAGGGAGTCGTGTGGAAACAACTACTAGAGATCCCCAGGGATCTGGCCACTAACTGCTGAGACAGGTTATTAACAGGAGAGCAGTTGCACAGCAGGAACTGACACAACTTTCTGTCCCACTTTCCCAGAGCAGCAGCCATCACCTTGCTGGGGTGGGCAGCTGACAACATATGCACACATTACTGAACTAGCAGCAAGAAAAGTGAGTGAGTCAGAGACAGAGAAAAGCAGGACAAAAGTCTTAGTCTTGCTAGGTTTAAAATACACAGCAGTACCCAGATCCATCATGGATGTCATTTATTCTGTTTCGCCTATGACAAAGTAATTTTGGCAGAGACATTATGTTACTATTTTAGGAGTCTAAATGGTATTTTAACATAGCTGTTCCAGCATATTTTGGCATGTAAACAACAAAGACCAGAAAACCAAAAGTTGCTGTAACAGATAGTACTGGGGAGGCAAAAGAAATAGGCACACAGGATGACTACAAGAAAAGGTTCAAGTATTATAATCACATAGCATTTTTATATACATTGCACTGTGCCCAGCTTATACATCTGAGGGTAACATGACAATGGAAAGAAATGCATGCACTCACACATTTAGATAATCAGAATATACTTGGTATCAAAACAAGACAGTTAATAAAGTCCATTTTCAACTTAAGAACCATGTGTAACACACAAGCATGAAATTCCTGCAATCACATTCATCTCCCTCAAAACACCCTCCCCTTCGTAGCTATGATAGATTATTTTATCCAGCGTCAGTGTCATACTTTAGGTGCCTTTTCTGACTCATTTCCGTCATCTACTCCCATAGTGAAATCATGTAATTTGCTTTCTTTATAACACACTGTGGAAAAGACAGAAACCTTACCTGTTTCTTCTCATAATATGAAAAGTTTTGCCTGTATTTTGTTAGGGGAGTCTGGGCTAAGAAATTTCCTCAAGTTTATCACAGTCATGGTTTCTAGTGCTGCTTATGCCAATACTACTAACACAATTTTCCTCTGCTTTTCTGGTTATGCTTTCCTCCTTCAGTTGACTTACCCTTGCCTTCTCTGACAGGTATGCCTGTCCAACTTTGAACACAAACTACTGTAATGTGCATTTACGTATCAGAGCTCTCTTTCCTTAATTTCACTTTGCCTTATTAATTTTCTCCAATCCTCAACTTTGTCCCATACTGGCTTTCAAGATTGGTTTGATTCCTATGATTAGAATGACTGCCTTAAGGATTGGTATTAGACTCACACCCTCTTTTTCCTTCCCTCTTGAGTCATGTTCTTTCCTCAAAAGTTTCCTGTATGAATTAAACTAGAAAAAACATCAATCAACGATGCTGTACTCTGACTCCTCCTATTCCTAGTGCATTATATTGATAAATACACTATTTAACAACAAATATGCAGTTTAGCAACAGGTAGGTGTTGAAATAGTAAATAGAGCCTAGATTTCACTTCAAACTGAAAGAAGGTAGATTTATCTTTGAAATTAGGAAGAAATTCATCACTATGGTGAGGCACTGAGAACAGGTTGTCCACAGAAGTTGCGGACGCCCCATCTGTGGAAGTGCTCAAGACCAGGCTGGATGGGGCTTTGAGCAGTCTGGTCTAGTGGAAGGTGTCCCTGCCCATGGCAGTGGAGTGGAACTAGATGGTCTTTAAGGTCCCTTCCAACCCAAACCATTGTACGGTTTTATTATTCTATGCTTTGTCTAAGCCAAGGTATTCCAAACAGCTAAGGTAACTGTTTCAATGGGTTTCCTTCTTCCCATCAGAGGCTCTTTATACATCAGTACAGTTAAAAAAATATTCTGCCACTCTTCATGGACTCAAACACTGAGGTGACAGATGGAAATGCACAAACATTAAATTGGTCTTGACAATACTTTCTTGACTTGTAGAACCAACAAAACCAATACAAACAATATCCACCACTACTCACCATACTAGAAAGGTCTTGTTCTGCATGTTTTAATTATTATGCAATATAAACTAGTTTTCCTGTAGTAGTGGCCTGGAACTAAAAACCTAACCAAATAAAAGGTTTTCATCACATCTTAGGCATGCTTTCAAGAATTAAGAATTCATTCCTAAATGGAGAAGAGTATTACAAACCTTAGTGTTATGTGCAATCTGTGATACTTCTCCTGAAGAAGATCTTTTACAGTGAACGTCCCAGAACCCAACAAATACATCTGAAAGAAAATGAGCACCAGAACTGTAATTATTTACCTTCACTATAAATAAAGGCTTTGTCCATAGCACTTAAGCCCAAAATACAATTATTAAGCACAAAAGTCCAAGAACAAAAATAAGATTATATATGCTGATACATAACTAATTAAAAACCCTTGAAATGTCATAAATTTGGTAATTAATAAAAATCCTTTTTATACTGGAGCACTTAAAGCATTTTTCTTTCTCTAGGATATGAGCAGAGGCACCTTAATATATACAAGCTTAGGCCCAGCAACACAGGAACACTGAAAGTAACGACTGAACAGGGCTCAGACTGACTTAGTGAACACTTCACAGTCCCTCCCTGACCCAAACTCAGCTCCTCCTAAGGAACCTACCTCCTCTGGAGGTATTTGTTTTCCCCAGAGCCTCCCCATGAAGCACCGGACAGAGAGAGACAGCTCTGCTGTCCCTGGAGGCCTTAGAAGAGCAGACAGATGGGGCCTGAAACAGTATTCTGAACAACAGTCTGAGATTAAATGGTCTCAGCTGCCCACAGAACCAAGTAGTAGCATGGGAGCACTGTCAATTAAACTTTTTTCAGCAAGGGAACAAATTTTAGCCATGAACAAAATCACTAAAGCATCAAAGCAGGGTGATTTCTGGAATTTAGTAGCTCTGTTCAAATGTACAGTTTCATTATGGCATTTTGGCACAGGCTAGAAGCCTTGGTTAGGGTTATTGAATGCTTTCCATTATCTAGATCACTAAACATGTCCACAACACAAGAGAACACATGACACAACCTTTTTAATTTAAATCCAAGGTTCTCAAACTTGCTGCAGACAAGCCTCATTTGAGAAAACTGGCAATGCTCCCCCACTTTGCCAAATATTGGCTTGCAGTATTGGCTCCTCTTTTCCCTTTCCAACTTGTTTTCTGTGTGGTCAGTGCTGCTATCCCTTTGCTTTCTTGCACAAAAGTTACTAGTTTTATCTACTTGCCTCCTCATTTCCTTGCTCCACACTGACTGGGTAGGCAACAGAATAAAAAAAACTTACTGTTCCCTGAGATCTATCTTTGACATCGTACACGGAGAGTTTGATTTGTGTCATTTGATTGATAAGAGAGTCTTGGAAAAAGGCAATGCTGCTTAGAAAGATAGGATTACTTGTTCCCTGTAATCATAAACAAAAAGCCAAAAATTAATGCAAGGCGATATTTTTTAGGAAGAAATGCTTCCTGTGTTAGCTTCAATTTTAAATTAATTCAGAAGTACCTCACCACTTACCTCAATAATTTCTGTCTGTGCATGCTTCGTCCAGAAGGCCTGGGGAGGTGTAGTTACACTCACTGCTACAAAACTATTTGGTTTTCGATCTAGCGATGGAGTTAGTAGCTCACTGCAAGCTTTAGGTATGCAATAGAGAAATAAATTTAAGATTCAGGATCTTTATCCTATTGGTGTAAGACTCCATATATTTATAAAAGCATTTTATATACCCTAAGCAATAGAACAGTGAAGGGCTTAATATTTGTCCTACCACCACTCGCTGCATGCAAACAGTAAATGTGCAATCTGATCAGTCTGGCTCCAAGCTCTAGAGCTGCAGCTTAAACTTGTTCTCTTCTAACCCCTGCCTATCCACCCTCCTGGCACAGCACATTATAACCATGTACATGCATAGGTTTTCTTCTGGGAATCTCAGGAGAGTGGCTGCATTCAATCTGAAGTCACGTTCCACTAAGCCCACTACCAAATGCCATTTGCCCATGGAGAACAGACAGAAGCACCTGAACATCGATCAAGCAGCACTACTATGAGGGAAACTAGCTTGTATTGTAAATGTTAGCAATTTATTTCCTCTAAAATGTTACTGTGAGTTTAACTGCTGGAAAGGGATTATGGTGAGTAGGAAACAACTACCAAAAATTTCAATTACACTTCAAAATTATATTACACTTCAAAGCCAAATTCTATCTAGCTAGATACTAGCACAAAAAGCGTGGTACAACTCTGCTTCAGCTATGTGCAGGAAGTTAACTCTGAAATTTACCTAAATAGCTTTGCAGTTCTAGATATTTTCAATTTATTTGAAAATATTTAAAGTACCTTATTCAGCTCTGAGAGTGCTTGTTAAAATTATTATTCATAACACAATAACACACATTTGAGAAAATTTTCTAATTTTTCATTTCAAACATACTGTAAGAGCATAACCTCCCAAATATAAGTCCACTATTAAGCCAAGAAAACCATGCTGCAGTTGAAAATGTGGACTGAATTTTCATGAAAACATATTTTTCACTTATTCTTCAAGTGAGGTGAAGTCAATGTGTAAGCTTCTTGTTCATATTTAACTATCTCAGAATTTAGGTCACTTCTGCATCTCACACTTGACAGCAAAGACCATGGAAAAAAAGGTGTGTGTCATAGCTGATAATTCTTAAAAAACATTCTGCCCTACAATGGTGTTTCCAGCAAATCTTCTGCTTGCTTGACAACCTGAGCTGTTGATACACTGACAGTGGAGACAGCTTCACTATATCTTCATATAAACAAAGTAAACATTCAAAATTTTATAGGACAGATGTTTTAATTACAGACTTTCAGAAACATCACAAAATCAAACTGCTCGTCGCTTAACAAAAGATACTGTACAGGCAGCACAAAAACTGTACCACAACTCTATAAAAATCACAGTAAAGTTGCAAACCTTACTATATGAAAGGCACTTCAAAATCAACAATTAAAAATCTGCACACACATTCAACAGCATGCATCCCCAAAATTAGCATAAAAATCAATAAGCCTACCTAAACTGAACTCTAAAATTGGTTCATCTGGGTCCTGAATGTTTCCTGTAAAGCAGAAAAATTAACACAAGATTAGCCAAACAGCACTGTCATATGAATTCTTTCCTGAGGTTGCAATCATACAGAGAAAGAAATTAAATTTTATAGGAAAAAAAGTAATTTAGTCCAGCGAGCCACGACTGGTATCTAAAACATTTATTCTGTAAGCCTTGGTATTTAAAAACTACCTGGAAAACTTGGAATGATTTCAGTGTATAAAACATATTAAAATATGTAAATTTATACAGGAGTATTTGCAATATGGGAATATTAAACATTTAATATCAGTAGAAAACAACAGGATTAAAGCCACAATTAAATCCAAATTATTAAATCAGATCCATCTCCTCCGTGGTAGTTACTAGGAAGAGGTCTGAAAGCACCTGTCTCTATCACTAATGAAAGAAAGCCTCTGAGGGTTTCAATCCTAATTTACTAACCATAAAAGATGAGGGAGGTAAGCCTCAGCTCCCTGAACTCTCTTGAAAATTTTATACAATGTCAAACAAGGAGGTTGCCAAGACTCTTCCTAGACCTTGACATTCTTTTGTTATTTTCTCCCCATTGCCTATTTTTGACTAATAAATTGCACAAAATCTAGTTGAATTTCGCTTTTGAATCCCCTCTCCAATTTTAATGCTTTGTCTATTTTAAAAATGGCGAGTTCAAGATTTTTAAATTCCTTAGCATAACTCCTTTATCTCATTACCTCCAGATAACCAAACACATCCAAATCTTCTAGCAAGTAAAAGAAAAACCCCAGCATTAGTACAAAGAAGATCCTGAAAGGAGCAACAACAGAGGAAGAGCTGACACGAAGGTACCTACCTGTTAGAGACAGGCCAAGCATTTCAGAGGTGACATCGATGGTGGAGGCCCGTTGCACAGTGCGGGATTTTGCACCATGGCGGGGACTGTGTTCTCTTGCTGTCATTTTCTCATGAAGAGTCTTTCTTTTCTCACTGCTTGGCTTTACTGATGTTTGTCTCACGGAGTAGCAGAGTGCAGCAGGTTGTCTCCAATTGCTATTCCTCTAACATTACCACGCTAAGCAATAGAGAGAGCAAAAATATACACTAAAATTTTAGGCCACTATCAGCTACTGTTCTTTTCAACAGCAGCAAACCTACTGCCATAAAATCTCCACAGGTCATTCAAATAAAATGCTCAAGGCAGATCCAATACACAGTAACTCCATTTGCATGAACTGTACATCTGTACATCTGTAACATTTTACAGCATATTGTTGAAAACTGTGTTACGTGCAAGAAAGGCCCCTCTGTCAGAGAATGGGGCTTGAGAGAGACTCGTTAACGGACCAGCTGCTCTTCTCCTTTGTCTAAGTTATTAAACCATCCTTAATGAAGTTTCCTGGTTTTCATAATCCCTGGGGAGCACAAGTAAATTTGTCAGATGGGGCCTCTGTCTGCAGAGGAAAGACGAGGGATAAGGACAAAGGGACAACGGGTTGGCAGAGCACAGAACAAAAGGGCAGGAAATGTTGTTAGTGTCAGCATACTGTGTTGTTCTAGGCTCTACTGCCATGAGAAAGGGATAATGAAAACTATAAATAAAACCTACTGGGCCAGAGAGAGGTTGAAATTCTGGGATGGTGGTGGAAAGAAAAAGCAAAAGGGGATGCCTGCTGATGTGACGCTTTCTTGGTCTACAGACATCCACGACAGTTGTTCTTCCCTCACAATGCCTATGAAGTGAAATGCTGCAGTAGGAAAGAAACACACAACCTACAGAAAAATTGTTTATGATTTTAAATGTGGTGTTTTCAGCTTGGCTGATAAATTTCAGTGTTTCTTCCATCAGTCACGTTAGCACTGCAGTCACGGAACACCATTAATTTAGGAAGTGAGGAATAAAATTTGATAAACCTGAAAGATAGTAATACAGTGACTAATACCTTCACAGCAGCCCCTCATTCATTTTACAAAGCACATGAACTATACTACAAAATGGAAAAATATTTATCTTCCTTTTAGGTTGAAGGACCTAACAATGAGCAAGATGCATTCTAATTAAATAAAGCACCTAGTTTACACTTGCGTTTTATACTTCAAACCCGTCTGAAGACCTCCAAAGGCACATTTAACCTGCCTAACTTAAGTCTCTGAATTTAACTAGTCAGCATCTCCCTCTGGAGGATTTCAAAAGAATTTCCCTCTCTCCACAGGGAACTCTAGCATCTTCTTAACTAGCACTGCTTCACTGGGCATCTAAAGTTCAAATTCAAGTTAAGCATTTAAGACAACTGAACTGAACACAACCCTAGCAATCTATGTGAGTTTAGGAACGAGATTTTAAATGAGCTCATTCTAGGAAAGAAGGAATTTGGGCTGTGTCTACCAGACAGGCCGATCTGTTGCCACTCAGAACTGTGGTAAGTTCAATTCCAAATAGGGAAAAAAATGAATTCTTGATTGAAAGAAGCAGAAATTGAGAGCAGAAATTGAACATCCCATCCCCAAAAGCTTTGAGGTTCAGTGACAATATACAGAACAACATTATAGTTATAATTTCTGACAGCCAAAAATTAAAGCAGGCAGTTTACCAGTTCATACAGAATCACAGAATAGTTGAGGTTTGATAAACTCTGGACAACATCTAATCCAACTCCCCTGCTCAAAAGCAGAGTCACCTAGAGGAATTTGCTCAGGACTGTGTCTAGTTGGTTTTGGACAAGAATGTACCTCTTGGGCCAACCTGGTTGTTCGGAGGTTGGATCACACACAGTAAAAAACCTTTTCTTATTTTCAGTTTAAGTGGTTAAGTGGCCAGTGAATCACCAGACTTTCTCAAATAGTATTGAATGTCCTAATATTTGGTTACATAAATAAAAGTTCCATCAAAATTCTTTGCCAGTTTCCAAGTCTTTCCATTTTTCTAATCTTTTACCCTTTTTGCTGCAATGGGTTTTCCTCAGTTTGTTCTTCATATAATGTGATGTTTAACAGTCTGTAAGTCCATTAAACTTACCTGCCTGAAGAAAGACCCACAAAATGTGCTTGCAGAGATTTAGACAGAATGCCACAGCCCCTTCCCCCAAAACCTATAAACACCTTATTAGAGAGTAACTAACATGTTCACATAGGTACAGGCCAGACAGCAGTTAGGTTAAAGAGTCCTTCTGTTTTCTTCAGCTACAATCTTTAGTTGCTGACATCCTTAAAAAGGGTCAATCCTTAGGAAGTTAAAATAGAGTCAGGTATTTAATTTGTTTTGGAGCTATTTCTATTTAAATTTTATCGATCTTAGTAATTTTCTAATGCTCTCTATTAATTTAAATGGCAATATTAATTTCTCACCTAATTATACATTTTCAATTTACTTACATGGATCATACTTACAGAAAGTTCTTTTCCTCATGTGTGGAGGGATTTTGTGTATCAACATCAGTTAAATCCACATCTAAAAAAATCAACAAAATAATCAGGATTAATTATCAGATTTTTTTTATACTGCATAAATCACAACCAATGGGCAGGTACCATTCTCAGATTAACTGTAGATTTTACTTCTGATTACCAGCGTTCACAATAAAGTTTACTGAAAACAGAAAAACAGTATAATCCTCTACTGGACCTCACCCAGCAGTAGTCATAGCAATAGCCACTTAGAGTAGGAATACAAAGAAATAAACTTATGCTGGAGAGGACTGACTTCAGGTCAGCATTTGGTGAGTGGGTAGAATAGCTGATGGAAACATATGTTAACATGTTTACCAAAAAGCTTGGGGCTATTAAGAAAAAAGAATGTATATGGTATGTTGAATATGAGACCGCATTACCTACTATACTTGTTTTTCTACAGTTAAGCTTTCAAAATTTTGTTGTTTGGAAGAGTTATAATTGCCACTGTCAGGAGGAAAAATCCTGTGCCAAAACACAGAAGTTCCAAAGTTTAGGATGTAGGGATCTTTCTCCATTGGGTGAAATTACTACGCAAAGGAGGCTTCTATTTACAGCTGGCAACAAGCACACAGGAAAAGTGAATTATTTTTAAATTTACTACAGGTTAACTGAAGGTTTATATCTGCTAGTGCTACCATCTCACTCAAATACACTTGCATTAATAGGATATGTCTTTTAAGACGTCCCATCTACGCCATACTACAACAAAAGAGACGGGGAAGTCCAGTCTGAGCTTCCTGATTTAATTGCCAGCCCTACCAATTACCCAACACTGCTTAAGAACTTAGGTATGAGCTCCTACCACTTACAGAAAGGATTTTATTTCACCTAAACTACATAGGAGGCAGGTATCTGATCCCAGCTCAGGTTCTCTACATAGTCAATGGTGAGACACAGGCACTTCCAGCAAATGAGTCATCATTTTCCAAGGTAGGAGGGATGAGTCACCTCATGAAGCTACCTCTCTCTCTCTAATTACAGAAAGAATTTAGATGACTAGATTAGGCCTGATGCTGCAGCTGGGCAAACTGGATCCCTCCCACAGTTGTGCTTGCTCAGGGGATGAGTTAGTTCCTCTACTCCCTGCATGGACTGACAGACACAAACAACAGGTGCCCTGATCACTTGCTTGAATTACAATTCTTTCAATGATTGCAACTTTATAATCATGTTTTTGATAAAAATCAATGGAGATAGGACTCCTGCCAAATTAAAGGTAGTATTAACACATCAATTTCCCAAGATGGTGCCTTAATGGATAGTAATGAACTGGTGCCACTCTTGCAGCCAACAATCCCAAAAGCTGATGTAATTCATGTCCAGGCAAACTATCCTGAAGATGGGCACGACACATCCACACATAGCCTTTGGCTTTGCCCTTACTATTACTGCAGACAGTAGATGTTGGCAGTATGTGCAGCTTTGTACTTCATGAAGTTTTGCTGCAAGCTCAGTTTCCAACAGAAACACATGAAGCTGTTGTTGACCTCCAACCCCAATAATGGTCATGTCCACAGTTCAGAAAAGGCTTCTGAACAAGGCTCCCTTCATTATGTGAATATTTATTTGGTGCTCTATTAGCACAAAAGCACATGAGCAGAAGAGATCTTCATCAGATGCCACTTCTGCCCTGCTACCCTCAGTCCTGTCAGCTGGCTGTGGGAAGCAAATGCCACCCTGCTCAGCTGCATGGCCTCGTGTCCTGTGGGCTTGAAACTTGGAGACATTTGGTCTCACTCTTGACTGCTTGCAACATCTCAAGCAAAAGCTATGATCATCTCTGCCCTAGAATAAACCCTGCATGATTAGCTTGTACAACTACAAGCTAATATTCTCCTTATCTCATCAATTGTTTTAGCAAAATGCTTTGGTCTGTTCTCTTTTTGAAAAACAAACAAAACAAAATCCCCTACCAAACTACCCCTTGAAACAAACGTGTCAAGTGAGATCAAAGTGTAAGAAACAGGTTTTTTCCCATTCACACATAAACCAAGCAGGAGAAAGACGGTACTCCAGTCATTGACCGGCATGCCAAAGCAGAAAATGCAACAGCAGTGGAAGGCTAAATGTTATTGATACACTGACATGAAGAAAATAACAGAGAAAAAGGGAGAGTCTGACAGTTTCTTTAATACTTAAACAAAAAGAGGAAAAGAAAAAAGGGGGATGTAATCCTACTAAACATTTACCATCATCTCCAAGAGGGAGTGAAAAAGTAGTTTTGGGGTACTTGTTAGTTTTACAACTCTCTAGACTCTCCAGACTGTAAGGTCCGTTCCCTGAACCTTACAAATTAGGGTTTCTGTTCCTGAAAAATCCATTTTGAAACATCAAGAGGACTCCTTCAGCCAACTGCATTCTTCAAATAACATCTTAATAAAAAGTTTCTCTGACTGAAAATGTTTTAACAACACACAAAAAAGTGAAAGTGAATACTGCCTGAAACAGTATTTTGGACCTGCAGTATGGTCAGATTTTCAACTAACATCCTATATACTGTAATCAATATGGTCAAAATAATGGAAAGGATGAAATGCCAGACTATGCCAAGTTATGACTATGTTGCCTTTCATGTAAGAGCACCGTCTCTAGCATGACTAGCATACAGGGAATTTTCATTATTTGTTTATTACCTCCAATGATAGAAAACCTTGGTAGTGAAACAAAATTTGCCATCTTGGCTCAAACTCAATTTATCAGTAATTCCAGCAACCCACCTCCAACAGCTGTTTCAAAGAAGATGCAAGGATTTTATCAAGCATGGAAAGATCTGAGGTGAAGGCCTGGATCAACTCTATCACTACTGGCTGCAGAGGTAACCCAAGAGCAAAACATCCAGCGAAAGCCTGCTAAGACCAACGAAGATTAAGAGCTGTTTTTTTCACAGTCCGACATGCACTTTGCTCTTCTGTCTCCTTTAATGAGAGAGTGAATGTCTTGAATCTCACACAGATCAAACCAGGAAAAGCAAAGGTCGTGACACCTTGATTCAGATCCTTCCAGCCAAACTCATGGGGGCAGCAACACAGACTGTGTCTACTGCAGATCCACAGGTTGACTGTGTAACGGAGTTTCAGTCCACTCACTCCATGATCTAGGTCATCCCTCTTACTATGTCCATGGGAAGCCAAAAGAAATTAAGTGATGCCAGCATCCAGTACGAACCCTTGCCTCCCACTGAGGTTACTTCCCCACCAAAAACATACTCAGCAGGTGCTAATTTGTCAGCTCCACAAAGAGGAGGCCGTATTTCCCCTCTCAATCTACTTCTTAAGTCCAGGTTCCCTTCACAAGCTGGTTTAATGTCCCCCTCTCCCACTCACCAGAATCCTGACTACCAAGGACAATGAAGTTTGGCCTGAAGAATCTTGTCGCTCTCTGAAGCCCACCTGAGGATCCTGAGCAAGTAGGTAACCTCAGCAACAACAGGGAAAAGTCTTCCACGAGAAAATGAAACCAACTACCGCAAGATACAATCAATGTATTCGCGCAGCGTGGAAATCCCCAAATGCAATCTTTCGGCGATACTTAGATAAAAAGACATTTCTGCATCAGAAAGTAGTTTTCTTTCTCTTTGCTTTCCTGTCCACAGATCCCACTTACTTACAGATAAACATATAAGTCACAGAATTCTTTCTTGGTCCTTCCCCACTAGAAACTTCAGCAAACTCAGTTAATCTAAAAACCTAATTTTACCTCTTTAATATATTTAAGTACTTTCTATAGGAAAATGCAATTAAGGTCACTTAGTTCTTTGTGCAAATTAAGACTATTTGTCTACATTCACAAATGAAATACAATTAGCATTCCTCTTAATGAGATATTGTTTTAATTTCACTTGTCATCACAGTATTTTAATTTCTTCAGTACTTCTTCTATGAGTACAAAAATACACACACCCAGAGGTGGAAGGGAACATCTGTAGCACACACATCTGTTAACCATCAAGGAAAAAGCACAGCTCTGTTTCACTCTGCAGAACAGCTTTCATCAAGATGAACGTGGCACAATGCCATGGAAAATGATGAGTCTCGCTATAGGTCAGTTCGAAGTCCAACCCTCTCAGCCTCCTCCGTCATTTTACCAGCAGAAACAGAAAGCGTTTACAAATGGTCTTTACCCCAAACTAACCTTTACCCTCTTCACAAGAAATGTGCTGGGTACATTGTGGCAAAGTTTCTTGTGCATGGGACGACTTCCGTCCTCATAACATGGGGTTCTCATAGTGCCAATAAAAACATGGAAAAGCCCATATTTCCTGTCAAGGAGTTTGGAGTGGAAACACATTTCTGAATTTGATGGTCTTTTGAACACCCTCCTAATGCCTGCCTCCTCTAAAGCAGTCTTTCATCACAACCATGAAGCTAACAATGCAGAAACAGCACCACTCTAACTGGAAAAAACAAATAGCTCTCTAGAGGAGCTACTCCTGCTGCAGGAAAGGATGAGACAGGGGAACAAAGGCAGGAAAAAACAAAAACAAAAAAAAACCCAACCCCAAGTCCCAACAGTTTATGACTTGAAATGACAATGAATCAGACACACTTAATGTTTGTTACAGATTTCATACATACTGTTGATTACAGATGGATGGCAGCAAAATATTCTCCAACATACAGGCAATGTGAGGGGACAACAGACAACAGAGAGGGATAAAACCACTGAAACTAGATCTGTAATCCAAAGTTTTGGTCAAGTTTGGGTTACAACAAAAAGTCTAGGGAAGTATCTGATTTATCTGTCAATAATACTCATCCACTTCACAGTAGCACCAATTAAAGCTAATGTATTCTGGTCAAAACAATCCAGGAATCACAGTGCTATTGTTAGCACTATCCTCTATGTGTGTGATTGAATCTGACAATCTGCCCTGAAACCACTGACCTTCACCTTTGCAACAGGACTTGCACCTCAGGGTCACAGTTGAAACTTTACTATTCTGATACTACATTGTCCCACATGGAAAAATGATCTATTCACATGCAGTCCCCCAAAAACCTCCCACGCACTCTTTATTTTCATATGG